CACTTATACAGCTTGACAACACTGTAAGATCGCTGAAATCTCATCAGCTTGTTTCAATAAAATACTCAAAACGTTCCAGGCTTTGTTTACCTAATCAATTTGTATACTTTCATCCAGAATTTACAGATCTAGATTGTTGTTGCTCAGTATTGAGTACAAGTTTGATTAAATATAAGAGAAACCAATAATTATATCAACTAGTATGAATAATAGCAACTAGAAAAATTATATAAAAATATTCAGCCTGTTACTCAGAAAAATATTATCGAAAAAGTCTCAAGACAGCATTTTCAATATTATATATATCTAAGGCACATTTATTTAAATTCTTTTCCCTAATTTTAGCATTTTTCTACAACTATACCTCTAGATTTTCTAACTTTCATGGTTTTGTTTCCATTTTACAGGTTTATTTGAATATTTTTTAGCAGCTGCCAAGTGCTTCTTGCAATATTTTTCTGGTAAAACACTTTATGCTATAAAAATAGACAAAGCAATCTCATTTGTGCTAAAACTAACAGTGTAGGTACTTTAACAACGATTTCAAATCCGAACTTCAAAACTTTTATTTAGTATACCTTATTTATTATAAACAAGCGGTGACGTAATTTACTGACATCACAGTTCACGAATATGACCGAGAATATTCAACACCCGCTTTATTTGATGTACAGATGGCTCCTAAAAAAATAATACGACGCTTAAAGCGTATTTGTAGAAAATTGAGCAGTGTATTTTGAAGGATAAGCACTTACTATTTACATACTGTCACTGCAAATCTTAAAATTTATCAGATAACTTATTCACTGCCAGCAAGAACTAAAAGCAAGAATATAACGAAATTAGAAGATAGTTGGTCACTATCTGCCGCAGCGAACCATTTTAACGTAAGCAAAACAACAGTTTTTAATATTAATAAAAGATGCAGAGAACAAAGTCTCTCGAAAGAAAGCAAGGTTCTGGAAGACCAAAAATATCTACGGCTTATGAAGATCGTACGCTTTTGGAGAGATTAGAAGAGAAACCTTTTAAAGATGCGAAAACTGCAACAATTATGTCACGGAAAGAAAGAACAACTTTAGTGTAGAATTAAAACATCGCGTCTTAGGTACCGAACTGCAGCAAAAAACAAGCTCTTACACCATAAACAGAAGCAATTAAGACTTATATTTGCGAAACGCGCTATAGACACAACTGAATATCTACTAACTGAATCTTCTAACTGAAGGTCTACTAGATATAACCACCTGGAATATAGTTTTTGTACAAAAAATTATAAATTCTGGAAATTCTTTGTTTTACAGACTTTAGAGACATGCTAATAACCTTGAAAATGCCACAAAGAATATAACTAAATATCTCCTTTTCCTTACTCATAACTCTTTAAATTCTTTTACAATATTTCTAGAATACGAATGATATGTAATCATATTATTAATGGTCTATTGGAAGTGACAAGAGCAATGCATTATGCCATATGTATACACCGAGTTAATGTGAAATGTTCATAGGTCATAGCTTTTCCTGAATAGTTTGACAAACAAATATAAATCTGAAAATTCTTTGTTTACAGACTTTAGAGACATGTTAATCTAAAGTCTGATAGAACTTGATTCAAAAATAAAACATCCAAGAAGTTTTATACAATTTTCCAATGTATATAGAAGAAACAAGTATTTTTATGATGCAAATAATGCTCAAGGAAAGGAGAAACCAGCTATAAGTGCAAAATTGGTGATTAAAAACCAGCTCTTTGTCGAGGACTTTGCTTTAAATTGTGGCATACAAAAATCATAATTAACTGTCGTTTTGGAATAACGAAACTTGGATTTTATATTTCGGTTAAATAAAATTTTTCTCAAAAGAAAACGATTTTGAATTTCTTTCTGACCTTTTTAAATGTGTCCTATTAGAGATAGAGTACCTATGTTTCTAGGGAGACAATAACCGTCGGATCATTTTGCTAAAAGAATTGTATTATACATTTCGAACTACCGTAGAATGGGTTGACTTTGATAGAACATGAATATTTTGTGTCAAGAGAGTATGCAACCCAAATGTTTCATCCGTTATGGTGGTTGTCTGAACTTAATTTCAGTGCACTTTGTGATTAACTGTAACGGAAGGCGTTTGTGGCGAATATCAAAAGTACACTCTTATAAAAAGTTTTTGTTTTAATTTGGAGATTTTAGATTGTGTAACTAAATTTAAACATACAATTTCAGGTAATTTTGTGTCTTTCTTCTTCTCGTGCCACTCCTAGCGGAGATTGGAAATCATCATGGCCACTGCGACTTTGTTAGCAGCGCGCCTAAAAAGTTCAATCGAACTACACCCGAACCATTCACGTAGATTACGAAGCCACGATATTTTTCTTCTCCCCACACTCCTTTGCCCTTAATTTTGGCCCTGCATGATGTTTCTTAAAAGTTCGTACTTTTCACCTCTCACAATGTGCCCCAAGTACTAGTATTCCATCTTTCTAGTTTTTATCTCATTTAGAATTTCGCATCTTTTGTCTGAAGATTTGGAGTACTTGCGTATTAGTGATTAGTTGTAGATGTTAGTAATTTTGTGTATGTTGTCTTAATTTATGTTCAACTGTCAATATTTTAAAATATTTAACCGAGACTACTTCATGAAATTACATGATTTCTTCTCCTTTGATACATTTTTCGGGGTGACTTTGATATTGTATTTCTTTTTATAGTTTTCTTAATGAAACTTCAAACCTTTAATTCATTTTAGGTTTTCATCATTATCTATATAAAAAGCCAAAATGCCGCGAGTTTATAAACGAAAGTTGGGATCAAGAAGCTACAAGAACTTCTCTGACGAAACTCTTGAACATGCTTCTAATAGGAAACGGAAACTTGTCTGTTAAAGCCGATTCAGAAAGATGCAAAATTCTGTATGGTACTTTATATAATAAATACACAGGGAAGCATGGGAAGAAACCAGGGGGCCAAACTGCGTTGTCGGAGCTGGAGGAAAAATCAATCGTGTCCTGCATTGTCAAATGTGCCGATTGGAGATTTCCATTATCGACGTTAGATGTACAACTTTTCACTGAGAGTTATTTAGAAAGAACTGGAAGAATTATTTATAAATTTAAAAATGGGGTAAGTCCTGTTAACGACTGGGTAACCATTTTTTAGAGAGGCATAGTCAGCAAATCTCTGAACGACTTGCGTCTAAAATTACTAGAGCTCGGGCAGGTGTCACAAAAGAAACGATAGAATCATATTTCAATAATTTAAGAACAAGTGTTATGAAACCAACGTTAGTGATGATCCGGGGAAAAGAATATTGTTATATAGAAGAGGGACCAAATACCCAGAGCAAATCACTAATCATAGTAAAGCCGCCACATAAATAATGATGTACGGTGCTGCTGATGGCACACTACTCCCTCCTTATATAATATATCGCAGCGAACATATGTGGGATGCGTGGATATTAGGGGGTCCACAGGGCTCTCCTTGTTTTTGTAGTGGATGTTGCTCAAGAGGAGTTAGATATAACCGAACAAAAAATGAGTGGATGAAGGTAACTTGTTTTACAGACTGGTTTGGGACCATATTATTAACCCACGCAAGACGGCTGGAAGATAAAAAAGGTATGATCGGTGACAACTTGGCGTCCCACTTTTCAGATCATGTATTACTACTACTACTACTAAGGATTTACACAGTTTTCACTGTTTTCCCTCACTTAATCCAGTTTTCGGACCCATATGTCAGGATACTTCTTGTCAGGGTATTATATATTCTCTTTTTTGTCTTTATCGTAATGTTCTTATCCCACAGCACTGAATTTAGTTGTCTTGTACAGTTTCTTGTTTGTCTTAGTCTGTTGTTTATATCTTCTTCCGTTGTTCCCTGGTTCGATATTATGGTTCCCAAATACTTGAATTTATCTGTTCCATTTACTTGTCTTTCCTCGTCTATCTCTAGGTTTCTCATATCCTTGTTTTCTGTTGTTAGGTATTCGGTTTTCTCTAAGTTTATTTCCATTCCGTTGTTTTTATATTCTTCTTCTAGTTTTCTGAGCATAAAGCTGAGATCTTCTTCATCTTGTGCGAAGATCATGTATTACAACTGTGTGAAATGCACAGTATTGAGTTTGCGTGCCTTCTCAGTAATTCAATACACATATGCCAGCCTTTGGATGTATCCTTTTTTAAACCCATGAAAGTTTCTTGACGAAAGATTTTGACGGAGTTTAAATTGCGACACCTAAAGATTACTGATGTATCTAAAGATCAATTTCCGCCGTTATTAAAAAATGCTTGAAATTAATGGACCAGACAATTTCAAAAACTGAGCACAAACGTGAAGAAAGTGCAATTAAGAGAGTTTTGAAGAATGGGTTCAAGGCTTGTGGCATGGATCCTTTCGATCCAAATAAAGTCTTGAGTAAAATTGCACCAATCAATCATGATGTTGATTATGTAGAACCTCTAATTAACGACAGCCTCACAGACTATTTGATGAATAAAAAGTCCGAGATAGAAGTTACTAAAGGTGGAAGTAAAAAAAAACTTATAAAAAAACCCGATAAAAGTGTAAGTCGACATGTAACGGCGGATGACAGCTCCTCCGATAGCGAATTAAACAGCTATACCAGTGAAAGCGAAAATAAAATTGAAAATGAAGATTCTGTGGAGAACCAATCATATGAAGATGAGATGAATACAAAACCATCTCTTGCTGAATTGAATGTTGGAACTTATGTGCTTAAAATGTATAAATTACGTATATGCCGGAAGGATACAAGAGAAATTACCTTTTGACGAATACGAACTCATTGGACTTAAATCACTGGATGAAACCCTTAAACATTTTAAAGTTATGGAGACCGACGTTTTTAATGCTCCTTTCGCTGATATCTTAGCAATTCTGAAGACCCCATTGGTTGAAACAAATGAAACAGCAACGAAAAGCATATTTTCTGGCAGAGTTGATATTAAAGAAAAATAACTTATTTTGTTTGCCTTCCATAATATATTCTTTTGACTTTTTTTACTATTTTATATTGTTTTACTAATTTGTTAAAATGTTTTTCAACTCAATAAAGTATTAGCTACTTTTTATTAGCTATTATTTTCAAGATTTTAACTCGTTTTTACAAAAATATGAACTGACGAGTATCAGACGCTTCAAAATCATTTGCGACGAAAATTTACCATTGTTGGTTTTACTTGTACATAAACTCCAAAAACCGGTTAAATACGTCACCGCCTCTTAAAAATAAATAAGATTTACATAGTACGAAAACATTCATTTGACACCTTCGAACGAATGGTGAATACTAAAAACATGACGAACAAACATATTAAATTAATTTAAAAACATCACCTCATATAAACGACAACAGAAACAAAAATTATTGCGTGATTCAGTCTAGACGTACTTGTTGAACTATTGTTGCCTGCAGAAGACCATTCTGAAATAAATATGTAGGTTAGGTATTTCTCATGGGTATTTCTTACTTATTTTTAGGCACATGCACAAAAAGGTAGAACTAAAACTAAAAAGAATAATATTATACATTAAAAAAAATGGAAGAAGTGAACTCAACATTAGCGTCCATCGAATATGTTTATAATATTTAACACAAAATAAAGAAAAGAAACATTATATTAGGCATTCGGATGAAATTTCCTGAACAAAAAAGTAAAGTCCGTGGCACACGGTCAAATATTGGATCAAACTGACGTCATAATTACAGTTTGTTAAGGTTATATTTGGTTATATAATTGGTTACTATGGTTACAAGGGTCCTATACATCGAGCAAAAAGACAAAAGAGGGAATCTAATCGTTATGAAAAGAAGACCAAAAAAGCGGCCTCTGATGGCGAACATATCCGGAAATTCAAAGGCGCTAAATTTAAATTTTCCAACACTTATTAACAATAGCTATAAAATATTTTTCAGACGAGAAAGTTTTAATTAAATATTAACGATAATAGTGTAAAATGTGACACAATTGGTAAAAAACTTCAATATAAATAAAATTACATGTGACAGTTGGGACAAACAATAACATAACCAAACTAAATTTGATTTCTTAAACAAGGAAAGAGACTGTATTTCCTTGTTTAAAGTGGCCTCTCAAGATGGCACTTCCTGTCTAACAATATTTTATCCCCACTACCTTTACATTCCCTCTTTTGTCTTTTTGCTCGATGATCCTATAGCAAATAAGGAACGAGAAACAGCATTTGGAATCTTTAAACGTGTTGACAGCTTCTCGTACCTTAGCTCGCTAGTGACTACTACCAATAAAACGAGCAAAGAAATTAAAAGACGAATAAACCTTACAAATAGGGCATACGGTGGATTCCAAAAACAATTCACTAAAGAAATATCCAAAGAAAAACTAAAATTATTATATACAAAACACTGCTGAGGCCGGTTCTCCCATACGGGGCGGAAACATGGACTCTGACGCAGAAGGACCAAAGATTTCTGGCAATATTCGAGCTTAAGATACTCGCAAAATATTTGGAGCTATAACCGATGAAAGGCAGTATCGCATAAGATTTAATTTCGAATTATACCAACTCTTTAATGAATCAGTTGTCGTAACGTTCATTAAAACACAGAGACACATAATACGACTGCCCGACAACGTAACTCAAAAGCTAACGACAGGAACGCCCATAGGAAGAAGAAGCAAAGGCCGACCGCGAATTAGGTGGTTGGATGGAGATGAGACCAACTTATGGATACTAGAGATCAGAACAGAATGGCGACTAGCCTTAGGAGGCTAAAGATGATGATGATGTCATATGCTGTCAATTCATCGATTTGATCAAATATTGGACCGCAACGAACTTAATGTTTTAGTTTTAAAATACCAATTAACTTACCTGTAGCTTCTGGATTATCTCTCGCTACGTACAGCCAAAACTTCTCGTGCGCAAACTCAGTGCTGGTAATCGTAGGCACAAACGCAGGAGCAAATTCATCCTCGTCGTGCTTACTCCTTTTCAGTTCGATAGACTTTTCGTGGCTTCTGTGCCATACGTTGTATATGTTAGCTGAGCAACGAAGCTTGAGCTTGCCTTCATCCAGAAGTTGTTCAGATACTCTGAACTGGACAGTAGAATAGGAACTATAAAGTAATATTCAAATGTATAGAAAAGAACACTAAATGTTAAAAAAAAAAAAATAGTTAATATATATATTAAAAATCCCGACAGACTCGATAAGTAGTACTAGTAATAGTAGGACTCGACTACTTTTAGCGAAGCTAAGAAAGCTCTTACATGTACAAAACCTAACAAAATGCTCCTTTGGTGTAGAAATGTATTGTTAAAACCGAACTGACAGATCACTTTGTACTTCACATTTAAATTGTTAACATTTAATGTTTACACAACACACAATATAGTAGCCAAAGTGAAATTCCAACACTGACAAAGCTCTCAAGAGCTTGAAAACGATTACGTCTTACCCAAGATATCTCGTAGAGTGTTAATCAGGACTATGCGCGAAATACGCTTTCTATACGCAAAACGAAACAGAAAATGTATGTTATTAGAAAAAAAAAAGAAATTAGTGTGCGGAGAAGAAAATATTTAAAAGAAATAGGCAAAATTCGCAGCATTGGACTGAAAATATACTATTTGGATGAAACCTGGATTAACGAAGGTCATACAGTCGGAAAAGTTTTTTAAGATTTAAATGTTAAAAGTAAACGCGAAGCATTTATAGAAGGCTGGTTTAGAGGACGCTCTATCGCTCTATCAGGAAAGGGACGACGTTTAATCATTACCCATACAGGAAATGATATAGGGTTCCTTGATGATGGTTTGCTTCAATTTGAGTCAAGAGAAACAGAAGATTATCATGAAGAAATGACTTCCGAGGTATTTGAGCGCTGATTTAAGAGACTCTTAACAAAATTCGGCCAGGTCACGTCAATAAAAGTTTTAAAGTAACTTCAGCGAGAGCTGAAAATTAAACATCAAATTTTTATTTGTTTTTTATAGCTTTTTGCTTGTGGCTTTTTGTATTTTTAGGGTAATGTAGGGAATAAGCCACAAAATATTCATTCAAATGTTTAATTCACTGACGTTTCGATCTCTATATCCAGAGACCGTTTTTAAATATTCAAATGATAGATAGGGGTAGGGGGAGCAAAACGGGGTAGTGTGGCAAAACGGGGTACCCCTCTTATTTTCCAAACCACTAGTGCAATTGAGCTACATCTCCAGGAATTTCGTGTTCACGTGGTACGACATCACCTGATGCCGCCGTTTGGCTGTACAGCGCGCCAAAGTTCATGAATTCGTTGAATAGTGAGGATTGATAGTGGTATTGCAATATTTACATATTTCATTTACAAAAGTAGACTGGAACTATATTCACTCAATAGCTATTTATTTCATGTCATTGTCTAAGGTGTGAACTTATAATTTTGTTAGTATTATTACGTTTCAAGTATTATTAAATTTATTATTGCACTATAATCACAAATATGCAGCTGGGGCAAAACGGGGTAGTGCCCCATGAATTGATATGTTTGGTGTTTGATTATTCTTCTTCTTCTTCTCGTGCCACTCCTAGCGGAGATTGGAAATCATCATGGCCACTGCGACTTTGTTAGCAGCGCGCCTGAAAAGTTCAATCGAACTACACCCGAACCATTCACGTAGATTACGAAGCCACGATATTTTTCTTCTTCCCACACTTCTTTTGCCCTTAATTTTGCCCTGCATGATGTTTCTTAAAAGTTCGTACTTTTCACCTCTCACAATGTGCCCCAAGTATTCCATCTTTCTAGTTTTTATCTCATTTAGAATTTTAGAATTTGATTATTCTGATTACATTTTATTTTTCTTCAGATAATAATGGTAAGAAATTATAAAAGAAAAACAGATCGACAACAAAGTTGGAGTGAACAACAGATGCACGAGGCAGTGCAACTAGTTATAGATGGTTTCATGGGATATAAGAAAGCGGCTGAGCAATTTAATATACCCCAAACAACATTAGAGCGCTACGTTAAAAAAAGCGAAACAATTCCGAATACAAAATTCAGAAAACGCTTGGACGTTATAAATGTATCTTTTCAATAGAACAAGAAGCAGAACTAGCAGTTTATTTGACCACCGTGGAAGCTCAACTATTTGGTCTGACCATGAATGAATTAAGAGAATTGCTTTTGATTTAGCAGAACGCAACAACATTGTTCAACCGTTTAAAAATTCAAAAGCAGGTTTAGACTGGGTAAAAGGATTCTTGAATAGGCATCCTAATCTTAGCTTACGAAAGCCAGAAGCTACCTCGTCAGCTAGAGCAATGGGGTTTAATAAAGTCGCAGTAAAATAATTTTTCGACCTTCTTTTAAATATTTTGGATACCCAACAGTTAACAGGGGATAGAATATATAACTGCGACGAAACGGGCTTAACAGTAAATCCTAAAGGTCATTCTAAAGTAATTTCCAAGAAAGGACGGAATTTTAACTTCAGCTGAACGAGGTCAAATTGTTACCGCTGAAATTTGTTTCCCCGCTAGCGGGACATATGTTCCCCCAATGTTCATTTTTCCCAGAAAACGCATGCAGCAAGAATTCCAGACTGGACTTCCATCGGGTGCGTTTGCTGAGGTTCAGGAGACTGGGTGGATGACCAAGGAACTGTTTGTTGTTTGGTTTCAAAGATTTATTTCTTTTACCGGAGCCAAAAAAGAGAACCCAATTCTGCTTGTTTTAGATGGACACTCCACCCATACCAAGAGCTTGGAATTAATCGATCTTGCACGAGAAAATGGGGTAATTTTGTTGTGTTTTCCGCCCCATTGTTCTCACCGACTTCAACCACTAGACGTGGCATTTATGAAACCGTTAAGTAAGTACTACGAGGATGAAGTACGTAAATGGTTGAGATGTAATCCTGGAAAAGTCGTTACCTTGTTTCAGATAGCTTCGTTATTTGGGGCCGCTTTTATACAGGCTGCAGCGATGAGCACAGCTATAAACGTTTTCGAAAAACTAGAATCTAGCCATGTGACATGAATGTTTTTAAAGTTAAAGATTTCTTACCTTCTGCAACGACAAACATTAAACTTTCTCTCAATGATACAAGGGAGATGCAAGTCCAGAGTACTACAGCTTTCAAAGATTCTGCCCAGTCACCTCCAGGCCAGCAACATCTAACTTCCATCCATCTAACTTCGTCCCAACCATCCATGATTGTACAAAATATTTTCAGTCCATCGACTTCGGCACAATCTTCCATTTACTCAACTTCTCAACCAGATCTGAATTGTAGTAGTTTTAAAGGTGCTAGTCCCCAAATCATTTTGCCAATTCCCAAAGTATCACAGACAAGTAAAAGGACTACCAGAAAACGTGGAAAAACTGTGATTTTGACATCATCGCCATATAAGGACGAGTTGCGGAATGCTGAAAATCAAAGGCAAGGAAAAGCAGACCAAACCGTAAAAAGAAATCTGCTTAAAAATAAAAAAGGCACTGTTAAACCAGCCAAACAACAAAAAACATCATCTACTATTCAGAAAAAATGCCAATTCCTACTCCTGCTTCATCTGATAGTGAAGAAGAGGCTGCAGAAGATGAGTGTCTATACTGCCATGACTTCTCTGAAGAAGGGTGGATTCGTTGCCGATCATTCTCCAAATGGGCACATAATTCGTGTGCAGGAGTTGATGAAGATGACGATGATGCTACACACTTATGCGCTCTATGCGAAAATAATTAAAGATACATATGTATTTTATTGTTCAATACTTATGAATACAAAAATAAAGATATTTTTTACCTTCTGACTTTAGCTTTTAGGAGGTACCCTGTTCTGCCCCATAGGTGGGGCAACATGGGGCAAATGACACATGAAAATATTAGTATACATCAGAAACGTCAAAACTACTATGTCACGCAATATTATTTTTTTACTTATTATTTCATAGAGATTACGCTTAAAGCTTGAAACAAATAATTTTTAATACCGTGTATGAAATATGTAAGTTCAAATCTTACGTACCCCATTTTGCCCACCTTTCCCCTACATTTATTTTTCTATAGCTTTTTGCTCGTAGCATTCTATATTTTTAGGGAGAATGTTGGAAATAAGAAAATAAATAATTTGTGATTATATAAATATATAATAATCATAAACAAATAAAATAAATATAACTATCATTTATATATTTGAAAACGGTTTTTGGTATAGAGATGAAAACTTCAGTAAAATACTGTAAATAAATATATTGTGACCTATTTAGAACAAATAATATTTAAAAAATATAATATAATTAACGTTGAAATAAAATTAAATAAAAGTAAGTGTGCGCCACTGGATTTTTATACGTCTGTCCCCACTTCTCCGCCATCAAACGATGAAATCACTCTTCCAAATGGTGGAATTATAGTTTAGATACATAGTATACAACAGAAAAAGATAAACAGAACTTTGATTATATATATTAGGTATATAATACACAAAAATCACCTATAAAGTTAAATTTTCAATTTCTTTATTCTTACCTTATGTAATTACCTTCGATTGTCTTTCTATATTTTCTTACATGAGGTCCGTCCATAGGCCTTCCGTTGACGTACCACGTTATATTAACAGCTGGATCCGATTTTTCGGACGAACAAGTTGCTTTGACATAGTCTCCTAGTTTATATCTCGATTTCGTTCCAGTGATCAAGGGATCTGCTGCAGGAGGATCTACAACCTTAAAAGGAACCATCACATGAAAAAATTGTAGATTATCAAAAGGAAAAATAGCTGTCTTTTCGTCCAACTTTTAAATCTTTTGGAGCGCCAATTTACATAATATTATGTTACTATATAATAAAAAATAATCATCATCATCATCAGTGGTGCTACAGCTCTAGTTGAGCCTTGACCTTCCCCAGTATATTTCGCCAGTCGTTTCTGTTCATCGCCAACCATTGCCAATTTGCCGCGCCGATTTTCCTTGCGTCCTCGTCCACACCGTCCCTCCATCTCAGTCGTGGTCTGCCTCTACTCCTATTTCCCACTGGGACCGATAATAGAGTTGGTCTGGGTGGGTAATTTTCATTTGCTCTTGACACATGTACAGCCCATCTAAGCCTACCTATTTTTATGAAGGATATTACATCTCTACCATTTACTATTTTTTTTATACTTCTCGTACAATTCGAAATTATATCGCCTTCTCCAAATACCATTCTCACAGAATGCGCCCATTATTCTTCTTAGTATCTTCCTTTCGAAGACGAGCAGAAGATTTGCGTCTCTTTTGGAGATGGTCCATGTTTCTGACCCATATGTCAGCACTGGTAGGATGAGTGTTCGATATATTATTAGTTTGGTTTTCTGGCTTAAATTTCTGTTTTTTAGCTGCTTGCTTAGTCCAAAATAACATTTGTTTTGTTTGCTAGCAGTACCCTCCGTTTAACTTCTTCAGATGTGTCATTATCGTTTGTTATGAGAGAACCCAAATATGTAAACTTATTTACTACCTCAAAATTATATTGGTCTATACTGAAGTTTTGTTCGGCGTTTCTAGCTCTATCTCTGTTATTTGGAATAGATGCTAACATTTTGGTTTTTTCCTCGTTTATTTTAAGGCCCATATTTTGTGCGGCTGTCAAGAAGGTGGAAGTCATCTCTTTAAGTCCTCGTGTAGTACGTGCGATCAAATCCAGATCGTCAGCGTAAGCCATAATCTGCGTTGATTTATTAAAGATTGTTCCCCTATTGTGTAACTCGGCATCTCTTATAGTCTTTTCTAACGCTATATTAAAGAGAAGGCACGCCAGCGCGTCTCCCTGCCGTAACCCTGCATATGTTTCAAACGCTTGTGACATATCGCCTTGTATTTGCACTCTGCAGATCACTTTACTCATAGTTGTGTTTACGAGCCTTATTAATTTATGGGGAATGTTAAGTTCATTCATGGCTTTGTATAATTTACCTCTTAGGACGCTATCATACGCTGACTTAATGTCCACAAAGAGATGGAATGTGTCAATATTAAATTCATTGGTTTTTTCTAAGATTTGACGTAGCACAAAAATCTGGTCAATTGTTGACCTACCTGGCCTAAAACCGCTTTGATACTCACCAAGGATTTCTTCCACGTACGTACTTAAACGGCTGTACAGGGTGTTGGAGAATATTTTGTACATTGTATTCAGAAGAGTTATACCCCTATAATTTTTACATTCCAACAAATCTCCCTTTTTGTGCAATGGACATATGATTCCAGTGCACCATTCCTCTGGCATTTGTTCTTCTTCCCAGACTTTGACTATTATGTTGTGAATTTGGTGCATAATGCTGTTACCTCCATGTTTGATGAGCTCTGCGGGGATACAATCCACTCCTGGGGACTTGCTATTTTTGAGTCGTGTGATTGCGTCTTTCACTTCAAATATTGAAGGAGGTTCTACGTGAGTGTTATTTCTTGGTCTTTGGGGTGACGCATCATTTTCCACTTCGGTACCAAGTAGTTCTTTGAAGTGCTCAACTCATCTGCTTTGTACTGCGTCAACGGTACTGACTATATGTCCATTTTTGTCTCTACACATCGTCAGCCGTGGTTTAAACAATAATATTGTAAAATCATTGAAAAACTATGAAAATTACTGGAGGTGATTTGATTGCCATTGCATATTTTTAATAAAATTAACTAAAAAGCCGTCACTTTTTGTTCGTTGCGATATTGTCAGAAAACAATGTCTCTCTCTCCATTTGTGCTACAGGTCAAATCAAGCTTTAACCTCCTCCAAACTATGCCTTCAAAATTGCAGGTTCCGCGCTGCTCTTCTCCAAGTTCTCACGTCTAACAAATTCTGTGCGTCTGCTGTCACTTCATCCTCCCTCCTTTTCCGTGGCCTTCTACACATGAAAGAGTTTAGCCACTATAATATTTAAAAAGAGAGTTGGTGATTTAAAATTGCTCCGTAAACATAAAAGTTATTGCAAATTTCAGAAGAAGGCGCAAATATATAGATGAAGTAAACCAGAACTAGAGAAGAATTTGAAATATATAAGGAACTTACTTCTAAATCTGCAGTTTTCATATCAGTAAAGAAGCTGGGTTGATCTGCAGTAACCTCACAACTGTAGCCTCCGTTGATGGCTCTAGTGGCATGTTTTAAGACTACTCTTGTAGCGTTAGAACGTTCAGGTACTACATGGAAACCTTTCAGCTTGAATGGCTTTGCATGATGTTCACCAGTTAGAGTATACCTGTAAAAATAATTGATTATCCATTAACATTACTTAAAAACATAACAAAGCTCTCATGGCATTTTTATAGCTGCCACAATTTTCAATTTTTGAATTAAATGATATATCTTCGTTTATTTGCACGGACTAATCCTATCGTGAATATTTGTGGCACGTTTTCTAATCTGTTTCCTAACCATAATCTTACATTCCATTCTTGTTACAGGAACTAACCATATCTGTACGGTATACTGATCTCATGGAGAACATATAAAAATGCTTCAATGACAGTAAACATAACCAGATAAAGTGTTCCCATAAACCTAATCTAAAAACACACACATCTTTAATGATTCAGTTACTGACTCTGATGTGCACGAAATGCATGAAAAGAATGTCAACTCAGAAATAGTCCTTAACATAGAATCCTTCGAAATAAAACAAGCTATGGCACAAATAAAGAACAATAAGGCTCCGGACCCAGATGGAATACTTGTAGAAATGTTGTAGAAGGAGAGGAGTGAAATTATTCTCGAAGAAAATGAAAAAGTCAGCAAATATTTGATTTCACGCAAAAAGCGCCTATGTATCTGTTGATACGTATTTCGACCTAATAGGTCTCATCAGAACAGTTATTCATAGGTGTTCTCAACGTGAAAAATCAATATTTTCTGTCTTTTAAGGAGCAACACTAAAATGGCTTCAATACGGATGCAATAGCGACATCTAATAATAAAATCCGTAAAATAGTTTCGAAACACAATTCAGATTTCTGCTTATAATCTGAGCCTTCTAAAAATTGCAAGGCAAACAGACGTTGACAAAAGATGTTAAAGGGACATGGGGAATCTAAAATTTGCATTGCACGACATGTCTTTACAACTAAGCAGAAATCCTTAGCGAATTGTGTTTCTCATACTCACACAGAGTATATCCGAATAAAATGAAAAAGACAGCAAATATTTGATTTCACGCAAAAAGCGCCTATGTATCTGTTGATACGTATTTCGACCTAATAGGTCTCATCAGAACAGTTATTCGTAGGTGTTCTCAACGTGAAAAATCAATATTTTCTGTCTTTTAAGAAGCAACACTAAAATGGCTTCAATACAGACGCAATAGCGACATCTAATAATAAAATCCGTAAAATAGTTTCGAAACACAATTCAGATTTCTGCTTATAATCTGAGCCTTATAAAAATTGCAAGGCAAACAGACGTTGATAAAAGATGTTAAAAGGGACATGTGGAATCTAAAATTTGCATTCCACGACATGTCTTTACAACTAAGCAGAAATCCTTAGCGAATTGTGTTTCTCGTACTCACACAGAGTATATCCGAATAAAATGAAAAAGACAGCAAATATTTGATTTCTGCTATAAATAAGGGTTTCTGCTTACTTGTAAAGACATGTCGTGGAATCCAAATTTTAGATTCCCCATGTCCCTTTTAACATCTTTTATCAACGTCTGTTTGCCTTGCAATTTTTAGAAGGCTCAGATTATAAGCAGAAATCTGAATTGAGTTTCGAAACTATTTTATGAATATTCTCTAAGAATTGAAAATTTTTTTGAACGAATGTCTTCACAGAGGGAAAGTCCCAGATGATTGGAATGCAAGTTTGAAAATAATTTTCTTCAAAAAGGGCGACAGGGGAGATCTGAAGAACTATAGGCCAATCTTCCTGCTCTCCCAAATGTACAAACTGTGTATGAGAGTAGTAACTAACAGATTAATGTATTAGCTCGATAGCTATCAACCAGTAGAGCAGGTAGGATTCCGAAAGGGTTACAGTACAGCGGATCATCTTTTTACAGTCAGAACGCTAATAGAGAAAGCCGATGAATATCACTTAAACATTATACATCTGTTTCATTGATTATGAAAAGGCATTCGACTCCATAGAACTTTGGGCAATAGAGAGAGCTATGAACAACTGCAGGATAGACTCCCGATACAGAATGCTCATACATAATATTTACAAGAAAGCTACAATGAAAATACAAATAGATGAGAAAACCAAAGCTATACCAATCAACAGAGGAGTTCGCCAGGGACACGTTATCTTACCAAAGCTATTCACACTTGGACTGGAAGACGTGTTCAAAGACATTAACTGGGCAGATAAGGGAATAAATATTAATGGAAGAAAACTGATTCATTTGAGATACGCTGATGACATTGTAATATTAAAAAAATTTTATTTAAAATCCTTTATAAAAGGTATATAATAAAATACCCAAACGGGCTATATCACAATTACAGAACGTAAATCCCATCATCAGTGTAACGAAGTATACATGCTATGAGCCACTACAATATATGGGTAAAACCCCGTTAAAAGTTGTTAATTTAAATTTTTGTTACATTATATATTATTAAAAATGAAGATGTTCAAGTTACCGTTGGAATTGGTAACATGGCGACGTATGACTCTACATAAGGTTACTTGGTCCTGAGACAGTGTCTATGAGGACCTGTTGATAACAACTCAAAATTTTATCTCACACTGAAAGATGTAATAAAAATTTACGACTTCCGAAGACAACGAAGACTTTTGTCTTCGTTGTCATGTTAAATACTACAATGTGTTTATGTTAGTCATGTCCTGTTTACTTAGATAGCAAAACAACTGAATCCCTAAGTTGCCGGCTTTCATCGAAGATCGCGGTTTAGGGAGGTTTAACTATTACCTAAAATTCTAAATCTAAAATTATTTATTGTAATAAACCCAAATGTCAAAACAGGTATTTCTTCAATACAAGTAGATTTGTCGTTACTTCTTATGAAAACTTACGTACGCCATTGGAACACCTACAATAGCGCTGAAACATTGAAAACGTCTCAGCAAGACTACTGAGATCATAAAAAACATTAAGCCGAGAAAAGCTGGAGTATTTCGGACATGTAATGAGAGGTCCCAAATATAGGTCGCTACAAAATATCATGCAAGGAAAAATAGCAGGCAAACGCAATCCAGGGCGAAGAAGAACCTCATGGTTGAAGAACTTGCGAGATTGGTATGGTGTTAATACAAGCATGCTATTTAGGGTGGCAGTGAATAAGCTTAAAATAGCTATGATGGTAACTAACGTTCTGAAAGGACATGGTACATGAAGAAGAAGAAGTTTTATTTGAGACTCAGAAAGAAAATGAAGCAGCGGTCCCTTTAATCCAAACAGATAGTTTAAGCATGCAAGAACAAGAAAGAAAATATTATAGAGCTAGTGCTAGAAAAGGTTTAGAATCATAGGCAAAGAAAATATTTCAAATCTTAAATTTTCCTCTGGTAAAGTAGGTGACACAGTGAAACTATGAGTACCAGACGTTGATAGAGGCGGTTGGTATTAAAAATACAGTAAATTCGTGGATACCTTTCACACAAATACTCTTTTTCTCTAATTTGTTATTACTATAACAAATTTTACTGTCGTGAACCTATAAAATTCTGATTCTGATAATAAAACATCATCCTTACCTATAAAACTCCGAAGAATTATGGTACCATTTTAAAGAATACAATTTGTCGCCCTCCAAGTCAAATAAGCACTGCAAGATCACTTCATGGCCTTTAAGTACTGCTTGAGGAACATCTATTTTAACTTCTTTAAGGCAAATACAGTCTAAAATCAAAATTTTAAACATTCACAAACTTTATAAATTAATACGAAGAGATGAGCATGTTCAAAGACAATGTTACAATCAAGAAATTTACAGTTGTATTGACTAAGTAGCCTTAATTAATTTCAAATGTACTACACTGCTCCGAGTAATTAACGCACCTATTAATATTGTACTGAACATGCTTATTTCGATCTTGTTTGGCTTTATAATCCACAACGTCGTCGAGACTTGTCTCCTAAACTGCAAAGGCAATGGGAAGGTTCGTATGAACTTAAAAAGAGGATAAATGACGTAATATACCGAATTAACAAGTTGCCGAAAGGTAAACCAAAAGTAGTTCACCTAAATCGTCTTGCACCTTATGCTGGCTCAAATGAAACAGAAGAAGCACAACCCTTCAGCAAGAGATTAAATATGACCGGCGACCAAGCTTTAAGGAATTTATGTCAAATTACGCAGAGAGAAAGAGTGCTAGATTCGGCGTGACCACAGAAGTTCGGCAGGATCTTTTTAGTGTTCCGCATAACGTCTCTTTAACCCACTGTGTTGCCCAAGATCTTGAGATGACTAAAGGATCTCATCCGTATTTTATAAGAAATTCGGTCGTTTGGACGAGTTAAAAAATTCTGCAGCTTAAACTTGGAAGAGTACTGAGATTAGAATATGGTCCTCGATCTTTGGTGTATATGGTGAAGAGCAAGTCGTATACAGACATGGCAAGCTACGAGAATATATGGCTTCTTCTTCTTCTTCATGTGCCTTGTCCGTTCCGAACGTTGGCAATCAACATGGCTATTCTGACTTTGTTTACGGCAGATCTGAATAGTTCAGCAGATGACAATCCGAACCATTGCCGCAAGTTTTGGAGCCACGAGTGTTTTCTCCTTCCTGGACCCCTTCTGCTGTCTATTTTCCCTTGAACGATCAGCTGTAGTAATCTATATTTATTATGTCTCATAACGTGACCCAAGTATTCCAACTTTCTTTTCTTTATACTTATTCCTACCTCTCTCTCTTTACCTATCCGGCGTAGTACCTCTTCGTTGGTCACGTGCTCAGTCCAGGATATACGTAATATACGTCGGTGAGCCCATATTTCGAAGGCCTCTACTTTTTTCATCAATGTTGCGGTCATTGTCCACGCCTCCATTCCATATAACAAAACCGGGAATACATAACATTTCAGAAGTCGAATTTTGAGAGGTAGGGTGAGGCTTTTAGAGGTGAAAATTTGCTTCATGCTAGTGAACGATGCTCTTGCCTTTTCTACTCTTATACGTATTTCCTTCGCTTGATCCCAATTTGAGTTAACTGTTGTTCCCAAGTATATGTACGAATCCACGTGTTCAATGCTTTCATTGTCTAATATCAGTTGCTGTGGTAGTTGTTGGGTTTTGCTTACTAACATCCATTTGGTTTTTGTGATATTTAGTCTGAGTCCGTATTGTACACTTGTTTTTTGTATCTTACTCATTTGGCAACTCAGTTCCTCCATGCTACTTGCTAGAATTACAGTGTCATCAGCATACCTTATATTATTAATTATTTCTCCATTTATCTTTATGCTTTCTGTGCTTTCCTCCAGCGCTGTCTTAAATACTTCTTCTGAGTATATATTAAAGAGAATTGGAGACAAGATACAGCCCTGTCGTACCACTTTCTTGATCTCAATTTTATTGGTCAATGTAGATCCTACTTTCACTTTAGCTGTTGGAGACTCGCTATTGTTCGAATGTCTCTGTAATCGACTCCGATCTTATGAAGAACTTCAATTATCTTTTCGTGCCTTACGTTATCGAATGCTTTTGCGTAGTCTATAAAGCATATGTACACGTCTTTGTTCATATCTCTGCAGCGCTGGATGAGTACCTGTAGACTAAAAAGTGCTTCTCTTGTCCCAAGAGAATTCCGAAACCCAAACTGCGAATCTCCAATGTTATATCAGGTAGTAAAAACTTAGTGCTTGAAGTCCTAATCTCTTCTTTAATTTCACTCCACTTTTCCAGCGGTTCATTGTTATTTTTAAGGATTTTTGATATTTCGGTATTTAAATTCTCCTGCATCTGTTGTTTAATATTATTGTTGGAAAGCTTCCTAATATCTAGCGTTTCGGGCCTGTTCTTTACATTTGGCTTTTTAACTTCACTTCAAACTTACATACCACCGGATTGTGGTCTGATACTACGTCCGCACCCGGGTAAGTTTTTACGGCTTTGATGGAGTTTCTAAACCTGATTAGTGCAGCGATATAATCTATTTGATTTCTGATTATTTTACCAGGTGAGTCTGCCGGTGATTTCCAGGTATAGAGTCTACGGTGCGGGAGCTTAAAGAGAGTGTTAGTAGGTAAGTACTAGGTTGTGTTCTTGGCAAAATTGAACTAGACGATCTCCTCTTTCGTTTCTTTCACCAAGTCCGAAATTTCAAGTTGAAATCTCCCATTTTAAGTGTTATTTCATTCTTTTTGGTTGCATTAATTAAGATTTCTAGTTGTTCGTAGAAGTCTTCCATTATTGTTTCCTCTTTGTCAGCTGTAGGTGCGTATATATCTGTATTATGTTCAAATCAAATGGGGACGCATACAGCTGTAAAAGAATCATTCGGTCTGATAGTGCAGTGTAGGATTTTATTGACGATTTTAAACGAGGTGCAACGATTATTCCGATTATTCCGAAACGTGGAACAAAATAGAACGTCGCAAACACATTAATCTAGAATTACTAAATTCCAAGACAGCAGCAGAGAAGAACCGACTTAGAGAAAGTTATAGAGAAGCGAATAAAGCTGTCAAGAAGGCAGCAAAGAAAGACAAAAGAAAGTGGGCAGAAAATCTTGCCGAAGAAGCGCGAGTCGTCGATGAACATCAAAACATGAGACAATTATATAATATCACTAAACAACTAGCCAATAAAAGATATACTACCCACCAACCAATTGTAAAAAGTGCTACAGGTGAAGATGTTACAACGCCACAGGAACAAGTCAAAAGATGGCATGAATATTTTAGCGAATCTCTAAGTGCAGTCCCAACACCACCAGAAGACGCAGAAAACCTAATACCCAATATCCAACTGAGAATTAACACCAACGAACCAACAACGCAAGAAATAGAAATGGCCATAGAAAAACTGAAAGCACACAAAGCAGCCGGCCCTGATAATATTCCACCAGAGTTGTTAAAAGCTTGCCCAGGTACAGTGGTAGAGCTAATCCAACCACTCTTGAAAAGGGCTTGGAGAGAGGAAAAGTTCCCCAAAGAATGGAAAACGGGATTAATAAAGATACCAAAAAAGGGTGACAGAAGATATTACGAAAACTGGAGAGGAATCACACTTCTGAATACTATAAATAAATTAACAGCAATAATTATAAACAACCGACTAACAAACAGTGTAGAACCAATGTTGAGGAAGGAACAAGCCGGTTTCAGACCAAACAGATCATGCGTGGACCAAATTAACACACTAAGAATAATTGTAGAACAGTCACAGGAATTCAACTCTCCTCTCTTTGTGTGCTTTGTGGACTTCAAGAGAGCTTTTGACACGCTCACACATACGGCCATATGGAAAGCACTGCAGGAAATAGGAAATACCAGAAAAAATAGTAAATCTCATCAAAGAACTCTACAGTGACACAGAAAGCAAAATCCTACACAACGGCATAACATCTGACCCAATAGCTATGCTAAACGGAGTAAAGCAGAACTGTGTTTTATCCCCCATACTATTTAACATTGTACTGGACTCCGTACTAACAAAGGTAAACTCTATTAGAGGAATTTACTGGGTTTTAACAAACAGACTGGAAGACCTAGATTACGCTGATGATATATGCCTCCTAGCACATACAAAACAGGACATGCAACTCCAAGTAAACAAAGTACAAGAAGAATCAAAGAAGGTTAGTCTAGAAATAAACATCAACAAAACCAAAGAAATGCGATTTGGTACCAGAAACAACCAACCTATTATGATCAACGACCAGAAAATTGAGAGAGTAGCGGAATTTGTATATCTGGGCAGCATAATTGACTGTAATGGGGGTACAGAGCGTGATGTACATGAAAGAATAAATAAGGCTCGCAACGCCTACAACATGCTTAACAACATATGAAAATTCAGGATTTACCCAACTAAAACGAAATTAAAAAATCTTCAACACAAATGTAAAAGCTGTATTACTGTATGGCTGCGAAACGTGGAAGATATCAGCATCCATAGTACACCAATTACAAGTTTTCATCAATAGAGCGTTACGAAAAATCCTTCGTATATTTTGGCCTAACCGAATCTCCAATGAAAATTTATGGAACCAATGCAACCAAGAAAATGTCATAAAGCAAATAAGGCGAAGAAAATGGAGATGGCTGGGCCACACACTCCGTAGACCGAAAAATGACATTGCCAGGACAGCGCTGGATTGGAATCCCCAAGGCCGACGGAAAGTAGGCACACCTAAGGGAACTTGGAGAAGGACAGTACTGGACGAAGGGAGAAAAATGGGAAAATCCTGGCTTGAAATCAAAGCACTAGCCAGAAATAGAGTTCGCTGGAGACACTTTGTGGAAGCCCTATGTTCCTCTTAGGAATCTTGGGACTATATATAAGAAAAAAGCAACGATTATTCCAAGTCCATGATTGTGTGTAAAGGTATCGTTACCAGAGTAGTACATTGCATGGTCTAGGATATTACATTCTTCCGAGTTGGGCCAGTGAGTTTCACTGATACCCATTATATCGATATATGGCTTACTTTAACTAATTTGAAGAAAATCGTGTGCAATTATGACATCAAGAATTTAGCCTTACCCAAAATAGTTAACCCAAAATTGGTTAGTTAAAATTAATATCAATTTTCCAGAATACGCCTTCAAATCAGACTTACTGGAAATTTAGAAACGTAATGAAAAACCAACAGTTTATATAGTTGACCAAATTGTATCAAGTTATGGACAAGTACTACGGTCGCCGCCGTATCACTGTCAGTTTAATCCCAT